CTGGGAGATCAGGTCCTGGGACGCCATGATGTAGACGGGGCCACGAGATAATAGGTCAAAATAAGCTCGAACTGCCGACTGAAAGCTGCGGTGAAATGTCAAGGTGAGACGAAGATGGTGTGCGATTGAAACGGTGTGAAACATGGTACGTGGTCCCTGTGTGTGAAACATAAAGTGAAATACGAAGTTGGCGCAAGGTTCAAATATCATGAGCATGCAGCAGTTCACAAACCTTTTGAGGGAAGAAGTGGCATCAATACCGAATGTCGGGAGAAGCATTGTTACTCCAAAAAGATCGGGCAGGGCCACTAGGCTCACTGTATCGCTGTCGTAGAATAGTCGACACTTGTTCCGGTACTCCTCAGAGGTAAAGAGTTCACCAGCGAGATCTGGAGTGGTATGTCGAGTGTCGAGAACGAGGTTGGCCTTCACGGTGCTGGTCTCGAGAATGGCCTTCGTAATGGGAAGATCGGCGATCTCGACGGCTGTAGGTTGAGTTGTCCCAAGAGGCATTTTCGTGCCAAGATCGGCGAGCATGGTCTCGAGAGCCAGACGCGGTGGTCTCGTGGTGGTCCGTTGTGTCTCGAGAGTCGTCTGGAGGTGGGTCCGAAGGTGCTGGTGCGTCGGCAGGAGGGTCAGGTCGTACTGGACGTGCATGGTCATCTGGAGGTTCCATGGGTGGGTTTGTCTCCGCTGCCTGGTGTGTGATCAAGCCCGGGAAAACCGAATGAGTGGAGGCAACATAGCATATGGATGCGGCGCTGGAGTTCATAGCCGTTGCATTGTCTTTGCCCTTGGCGATGCCCGCGAGGTTGCACAAGCGTTGAATTTGGTCATTTCCTCCAGCTAGGGCGCGGATGCATTTGGGTGAGCGACAAATGGCCAATAGGCCAGATGGGTTTTGTCCTTTCCCTATGCGATAGAGCTGAGATGTACAAATCTTGACAGCATAGCCTGGCAGAGTGTCGATGTCAGCGATCTCAGAGGACATACCGAAGAACCCGTAACATGGGTATTGAGTCGGGACGCCGGCTTCGTTTTTTGTCCAAGTTGCCGGGCGGATGCAGTCTTCCGCGAGAATTTAGGCAACTGATTCCCAACTCGTTTTGTGGTAGATCAGGTAGGTGCCCATGTGTTCGCCACGATAGATCGGTTTCTTTCTCAATCCCGTGGGGACCGTGATGGTCAGCAGGTTCTCTGGCTCGATGTAAAATGCTTGGGTTTGCCTCGCAAGCTCGATGTCCAGTAAGTTGGATTGTGCAAAGGCCCTGGCAATGTTCTTGACGGTGGCTTGGCTTGCTTTGATATAAATACGTTGGTTGTTGACGGTGCGATGTGGTTGAGCCAACTGGTGGAACATCTCGTCAACGAATTGGTTGAAGAGCTGCAAGATGGCCGGAGTCAATGATTGGCGTAGGGGCACGGTATGGTCGGGGCCAAGCTCAGTCAAGCAGCGGACCCTAAGGGGATCATTGGCCGCCTCAACCATTTCACTGAGGTCGATGTCATTCGTGTCGAACTTTGAGATCGAAATTGCATCTGCCACCTCAGAATTTTCACTGTCACCGTCAGGGACGCGGAAGGATACAGCGCCGAGTGGTGCTGTAGTGTGGGATGGTGGGTTGGTAGCTGGTTCAGGTGGCGGTGGATCGGCAGGAGAGTTGGGTCGAGCAGTGTTGTGGTGGTAGTTGTCGGTGTAGTGGCTGTCGTTCCATGTGCCCCAGGTGTCATCAGCGTCGGGAGTGGGGATGTAGGCCGGGTTGGATGGGTGTGCAGCTGGTCGAAGTACGACTTCACGGCCTCTGGATCGGTGACGTGGTGTCTCGGAGCGTGGTCTTGGGTGAGATCGATGACGTCGAGGAACCACGGGAGAGCGGCGTCTTGGCGGTGATCTTCGTCTGTATGGAGACGGGGTTCTGCGGTCCTTGGGGTGTTTCGTAGATGACCGATAACGAGGAAGAGGAGACCGAGGTCGTACCGCACGTTGGGGAGAATAGCGATGACGATGGGATTGTACTGGAGGTCGACGGGAACGTGATCTTGGAGTGCTGGATCGTGGTCGGCGCGTTGGGGATGGCGGAGCATGTAGGTGGTCCTGGTGAGGAGGAGCGATGGCCGGAGCTGGGATAATGCGAGGGTCCGGAACGTCTGGTTCGGTGGGTCTGGCTTTTGGTGCAGGTGGAGGTATGGCAATAGGTGGTGGTGCTGCTGTGGGTAATGTTGTCGGTGGAATGGGGTTCGGTGGAGGTCCATCGTGTTGGAGGAGTAGCTGACGTTGTTCTTGGGCACGTTGGGAATCCATGATCAATTGTTGTTGAGCTTGAATGAGTCGAACTGATTCCGCAAGTTGCTGTGTAGTGGAGCCCAGCGCTGCAAGTTCAGGTGAAACAGATGAAGTCGGTGCTGCCGTTGGTGCCGGTGGTGTAGCATGAGGAGAGGCTTTCGGAGCTGATCGACGTGGTCTGTCCGTTTTCTTGTCAGAGCGAAGCCTGGGAGCCGCCTTAACTGCTGGTGGTGGAGGTTCATCTGGAGGGACCATCGATGCGTCAGTCGGCAATGGAGGTTGAACGTGGTGAGGTGGGTATGGAGAGCTCTGCAAAGGTGTCGGTGGTGTAGTCGATGTAGGTGGTGTAGTCGATGTAGGTGATGGAGCCGGAGGAGAATGCCATGTGGGTGGAGCGGTGGGTGCCGTAGGAGTAGAAAAGGTCGGTGGAGCAGTGTGCACCAGAGTGGTTTCAGGAGCCACAGGTGTGGGCATAGTGGGCACAAGTTGTGGGCCTGGTACTGCATGAGGAGTCGGAGTCAATGAGGTAAATGGCAGTGAAGTTGGGGCTGATGAAGACCATGTAGGATGCAATGGCGAGGGATGTCCAAATAGATGTGCGTTCTGCGATGATTGCGGCCACGTCGAGGATGGGGTCGTAGGCTGCGGTGGAGCAGGCCATGACGTCGGAGGAGTGGTCCACGGGTACATCGCTCACGAAAATAATGAAAACTAATGAAAAATAATGAAAAGTCACACACAGGACTCAGTTCCTAGACCTACTGTTCGTGCGATTGTGCCACAACAGGCCCGTGTTCCAGTCAGCCACAAGGGCATAAAACGGCTTTCAAGTTCCATCGAATTAGATGCACAAAACGTTTAACCTCACCAGACAACCATCAAAAAGAAGAATACCACACCTGCAAGACATGGGCCTGCCTGATTCCTGTATCAAATGCTGTTGTTATGAGTCGTCAAAAGCAGCTGCGAGAAGGAGAAGGTTTCTGATTGTTTCGAACAACGTCACGCTAGAAGAATGCAATTCACGAGGATCACAAGGGACAATAGGAGCCGCGGGACTCTCGAAAAGGCTGATGAACCGTAAGGCCAGCTGTTGCAATTTACTTAGATGAATTACCAACTTAAAAATGTAAATTCGGCAGTCAGGACAGTCGTCACTCACCCTAAAGAGGGTTGCCTCAAATGGCTCCATGGCACCATGTCGGAGCCACCATGGAAATCACACTAGACAAGAATGGATCATTATATGATCCGGCAGGAACTGAATCCTGAAACATGCAAACCAGCCTAGATCGTTAGATTTATAAAGGAGCCTCATGAGGTACTTCTCGAAAACGATGTAAGGTATCCAATGTTGTCAAACGGAGTTTTAACCAGAGTCCACAAAGTTTTGACCAGCATGTTGAAAATCCAAAATAATAATGTTTCGGCGATGGATTCCCAAAATAACCCAAAGTTCATCGGCGACATGATCTCGGCGAAATAATCCAAAAAATCAAGAATACTGTCGGCGACATGGTTTCGGCGAAAATCTGAGGAAGGTTCTGATGCAGTTTAAATAACCGTAAATGACCAAATTTGATTCCAGATTGCGACAACAGTGCACCAAATTGAAAATTATTGTGGTTGGGGTTCTTGGCTTGGCCCCTCGCCATACGGAAATAAATGCAGGTACAGGAATGTGCGTCCACATTCCCTTCCGGCTGAATCCCATAGCTTCGTTGGCATGGCTAGGGAAACAGCTGCCATGCCCCCTGCAAATGTGAAAAAATTAGAGCCATAGAAGTTTCCTTGCAAATGTGAAAAAATAGGGCAATAGAAGTTTTACATCTGTTCAGATGTTACTTACACACACACACACACACACACACACAAACACACACACACACAAAACACACACACACACACACACACCACACACACACACACACACACACACCACACAAACACACACACACACAACACACAACACACACACACACACACACACCACACACACACACACACACACACACACGCACACAGAACACACGCACACAGCACACACACACACCCCCACACACACACACCCACACACCCACACACCACACACCACACACACCACACACACCACACACACCACACACCCACCCACACACCACACACCACACACACCACACACCCACACACCACACACACACGCCACACACACCACACACACACCGCATACACACGCGCATACACACGCGCATACACACGCGCCTACACACGCGCATACACACACACACACACGCGCATACACACACATATATATATATATATATACATACATATCATTGATTTTGAGAATCTCCCAATCACATCTCCATGAAATTCTGTACCCGGTACCCCCATTGTTTCTTGCTTAAATCCCATGTGATACTCCCCAAATCGATCCACATTACTATCCCATGAAATTCGTGGTTATGAAGCCGCCAAATAGGGATGCTTAAACCACTTTTAAGTTCCTATCTTTGATATTCTTGTTGAATATTGGTGATATCCCAATGAACAACTTCCTGTCAATTCCCCGTATCAATTCCTCATATCGATTCGCCATATCAATTCCTAATATATTACATATATGTGATATATATATATATCTATGTAATATATATATATATTATACATATTTATACAACTATATATAAATGGTGAAAATGCCAAAACCTCTGAAATTTTTGCCCCACTCCGTCAGGCAGATGTGCCGCTGACGGATTTCCTGCTGCAGCGCTGGCCGTCGTTCTTCAGCACGTCATCCGTGGCGCGGCGGACGGTGGCGCGCGGCCGCGTGTGGATGGCGGAGGAAGTGGTGCAGTCAGGTGGTGCAGCCAGGAAAACTAACAGTTTGCTATTGAAAATGGCCATAGAAATAGTTGATTTACCCATGAATAGCATGGTGATTTTCAATAGTTATGTTAAATCACCAGAGGGTATACCCTCCAGAAAACGAAGTTAGCTATAGAAAATTGCCATTTAGAGGTGATGTAGCTACAAAAAATGGTGATTTTCTATAGAGATCAATAGCATTATATCCCAACGATAGTAATGGATGAGGACAGTGATTGGGAGGATAGTGATGAGTATCCTAACCACAACGATCGTAATCATGTTTCATAAAAGAAACAACTGCATGGGACTCTGGAATAATGATGATAACACTGGTACTGATTTATGATGATGATGATGACGATGATGATGATGATGATGATGAATAAGTAAGATAATAATATATAATAATCATTAGTGATAATAATGACTAAATAGTGAACATAGTGATATTACACACACACATATATATATATATACACATATACATTATATTTTGATATGACAACATATCTATATACATGTATCGTCATGTATCTATACAGATATGCCATGGTATATATATATAACTCTCTGCGCTACTGAAGTCGATTTTGGCTTGACCTTGTCCAGCTTCCAGGTACAACTGGTGCAGGATTTCGCAACCACCCACCGTATGTATGTATATGCGTAAGTATGGATATAGATGACATATTTGTTAAGAATAGGAACAGCGATGATGATCATAGGAACTACTGTAGTTCTAAAATCAGTGGGAAAACTAGCAATAATGTATTGTATGAATTGTTTCGACATTTTTTTGCAGATACACACATCTACAAACATACGTATAATATATATATATACACACACGGAGACGTGTATGTATATATATATATATGTACATATGCATGTAATGATAAGAATATGATAAGAATCGTGATAATGATGACACACACATGCTCATGACAATAAAAATACAGTAGTATATAGTGATAGTGACAAAGATGACATTAAGGACGATAATCATGTTGGTATAACTATATGTATATACAGATATAAAATCATTTAAATATACATTGATATGGTGTCTTCTCGGTTGTTTGTTTGGTCCCCCGAATCTCGTGTGGCCGATCCTCAGCTCCAGGTGCGCCAGGTGCCGAGCTGGGTCCTCTGCGGCAAGCGTGGTGGAGTGACCTGGACGCGGACTGGGTGGACTGGGGATGCTGCGCTCATCCCAGGAGCCCTGGATGGTCCTGGGCCCTGGGTCCCGGGTCCTCACTTCTCCATAAATCTCTGATAATCTCTGGCTGGTTTGGCCATAGATCACATTTTCCAAAACTGCAAGGCACCAACAGGATAGATGATGGGAGTCCCAGCCATTTCTGGTTGGCAAATCCGTACCAATTAGCCATTAAAGGATATCACGAGATTCGTGGTCAATTTATGTCCTCGCAATTGATTGAACTAGCCATCCCAAACTCGCCTTTTTCAGGATCCATGTTTGGAAGGTCTTCAATCTTTAGTGAACACTTAAATTGAGTAAAGCAACGATTTATATCCAGGGAATCTGGGATCCACATTGATAGCCCCCAAGTAGATACCATCCGGACATGCTTACAAGGTGGTGCCCCCTACTTTGCGAAGTCGGTTGATAAGTAGAGTTGATAAGTAGATTAACAAGGGGTTATGGTAGATATATCACACACATATATATACACAACAATATACCACATATCATACATCATATATCGTATATCGTATATCACATATCATATATACTTCGATGGGTTTTCAAGCAACGTTGCAGACGTGGGGCAAAAATCCTTGTGTCGTTTGGACTGCTGAGGTGAGTCCATCAAAGGAAAGACCATTCTCTTCGTGCCTGACTATCCACGACGTTCACCCCACGAGACCAAGCTGGTGCCGCAACGGCAACGGTGGGCAACGCATCCAATGCGATCATCCAATGAATCCAGTCTGAATCCACCTGGACCTTTCTTTGATTTCATGTGAAGTGGCTACAACCACTGGTTCAAGATTTTCTTTGGGATTTCTGAGAGCTGGATTTGGACTCCCCGGAAACTGCTGTGATTTCTATCGCAGATCATCAACCATGGCAATCCCCAGCTATTCCCTTAGTTGTTTCAGATGTTTTTGGGGATATAGAAGTAAAATGGCCCCATAATTCTTGCTTCACCTACGTTAAATACGTTAAATCCTGCATAGAAATCCCCGGCATCGCCGTGTTGAATTTGAGGTGGTCCTGTGGGAAGACGACCATCTGGCGGTGGTGGTAAAGGAGCCTGGACTGCGCCTGTTTGGTGCCTTGGCAAAATCAGGGATACTGAGATTCGCCGGTGGTTGGATGGATTTATAATGGATTTATATGGAACATAAGCATTTTTATAGGTAAACCATGATTATCATTGTTGTCATATACTGGTTGGTGGTTTGGAACATGAATTTTATAACTTCCCATATATTTGGGAATAACAATCCCAACTGACGAACTCATATTTTTCAGGGGTTGAAACCACCAACCAGTAAATCATGATTTTGTTGTCATCAACGGGCCATGACTTCCAGTTCGCTATGTTAAATAACCAGAGGGTATAGGATAATGATATTCCGAATAATGAACTTTGAAATATCATCGGATTACATGGAATATAACTGGATTTTCAATGGGATTATAGTGGGAACATCATAGGGAAGCCAACCATACTTAGGTTTTCAATGGATGAAATTGAAAGCCCCACACAGATGCCGAAACATATTTCCAGGATGAGGACTAGCTACGATATTTCGTTTGTCTTCAAATGTGGGTGAGCCTTGGCCGGGGAGAGTTTCGTGCTTTAATCTTTGGAGATCTTCCCCTCTGTTTTATTTTGATTGGCAGTATGATCATCAACGTCCAATTTTGGGTAGAAGTATAGAACCCACTTCATAGTGACATCATGGCCAATCCGAGATGCCCTGTCAACAATGATATTTTAGCTGGTCAGCAATGAATTTTGTACCCACGTGACATACTCTTATAACAACGTGACCGTCGTGCCCAATCCTTTTGCTGTGCCAAAACAGCTATGTTACAACTCCTCTTGTCACCCAGGTACATGTTCCGTAAATCCCCAGTGGCAAATCCCATCATCAACCCCTCGTGGGTATGTTTCATGCAGTACCCTGGCTTAAACCTTTGCTATGGCTTTATCTTGTCAGGCTTAATACCATCCACATATCAGATATATCATCTACTCATGTTTGAAATTTGAAATTTGACATATGCGTAGGTGTGTATATATGTATATACATATAGACCTATGTGTATATGGGCATCTCCGTAGGTGGCATACGGACCTTAGCCAACATGCTGGCGGCCAAAGAAGAGGGCGCATCATTGCATCCTTCCAAAGAGGTGACGAAGCCGGGATTTGATGTGCTTGGGGTAAGATTGAGTTGGCGAATTTGAGTGCATCTAGAATGTGGTAATATACGTACATATATATGCGTGTATATAACATGTCTAGATGTGTACATTATGAGTCATACTTCTGAAGAGAAGTCACGGAGATGAACCCAGATGATATGAAACCTGCATATCATGATATAATGGAAGCGTTAGGAAACAAGCAGGTGATTTCACTCGTCAGCCAAAACAAAGCTAATCCCTTCCCCCATTCGTATGACATACCCGCTGAACGAAACGCTCGATTAGTACCGGGGTTATTCCTGAATAATTGAGACTGTATTTGTTGCTGATATTTTATATGTGCCGCGGTCAAAAGTTGGATGAGTGTAGTTGACTCTACATGCTGCGTGTCAAAAGTTGGATTATATATACAATTTACAGATAAAAGGCATGTTATTCCCGAATTAGTAACGATTTACATACCAATTCTAAGGATGATGGTGGTATGACCACACCGCATTCATACTACGTTTCTTGACCATGGTACATACCAAATAGTATATTTATACACATGATATCGACACTATATATCCCTTTATATTCCCGTTATAGTCCCATTATATCCCTATCATATATCTTTTACATTCCCATTACATTGCCAGTTATATTCTCAGTTTTGTTGGTTGTGCTTCCCAACTTACCTTTTTTTGGGGGGGCCGTGCCTGGGTTCGCCATTTTTCAAAGGAGGACGCCTTGCCAGCTCCCGTGCCGTTGCATTTTCTAGAAGCCGAGATCGGTGGTCGCCTGGGCGACGCTGTCCGGGGATGGAACATGGGATGTTTTCGGACAAAACCCAGCAGTTTGGCAGCTATTTCTATGGTGTTTCCCTCTGTTGTTGTGGTTTTTGGGGGATCATCACCTCGAAAGAAGGGTTACATTGCAGAACTGCCCGGGTCTTTGGAGTTTCAGGGAAATATATATTGGACACCCTGAGATTTGGATGTTGAGACTCATGAGTCTTCACCTCAACATACCTTAACGACCTTTATTTTTGGAAGGTGTTGTTCCATAAAGTGGACCAAGACTTCTTATGGGAGGCCTGAACCATCCAGAAGAAAGTGGGCCTGTTTTTCGCCAGAGAATACAGCAAATGCGTGCTTCTTAAGAAGATCATTCTGAAATACAGCATCATGCAATATACAGTAGAGATCCAAATGTTGTCCTTCACCAGTTTCTCTTTTTTGTCTAATATTAAGTTCCCACTGTCCAAATCGCTGCTTCGCAACAAGGTTGTGTCCTTGTTGCGAAGACAGCGCGCGCAGCGCTGCAGGGGTTGTCCAGCCCATCGCGATGCTTTCAGGGCCTTTTCGTGACTGGCGGGGTCCTTTGGGACGAAGCAAAGCTTTTGGCGGCAACGGGGTGGACGCTACGTCGCATGGAGCCAAGTGTTGCTCGGATCTGATGCCAAAGATGTGATGAAACCAATATAGCATAAACCCTGGTCTTTAAAGGTTGAGCAAAAAAGTCAAAGGGTAAAGTAGGAGTGATTTTTGTTGGTTTCACCTCAGTTTAGTTTTAATTGTTCGGTGTTTTGTTCGACATATTTCCAGTAGGATGCTCGGGATGTTAGGATGGTCGAACCTCCGGGATGTATGTGTTTCAAATATGTTCAAATGATATTCTCAATGACGCTCTCTCTGCTGCTTCACAGCTAGTGGCTACAGAAACACTGATTTTCCATGCCTGGCAAACTCTCATGAATTTATCCATATCTTTGCTGAGTTTTCCGCTGATTCAGTTCTTTTTTCTCCATTTTTGGCTGGTTTCTCCATGGTCCCGAGATCGTCAGGTCCGTTTCGGTCACCTCCTGGCGGCCGAGCGGGGCGCGGCCGAGCACTCGGCCGCCGCACTGCGGTGCAGCGCGGCGGAGTTGGCGGCGGCAAACGGCGCGCCGGCGCTGCTGGGAGATGTGGAGTTCGGTGGGGAGGAAGCGCCACGGATACGAAGGAGACCAGAACGGGGAATGAGTCGTTGGGAATTCCTTTTGGGTGATTTTGAATTCCACATGGAAACGTTTTTGTGAAAATTTAAGGGTCATGGATCGGAACATCCCCCAACTTCAATTTGTGAAATTTTAGGGGCTGGAGTTGGAATTGTTGGTGAGTAGTTGGCTAAATAAATACGGTGACATAATTCATGAAGTATCCCAGCCAAAGGAAGCAGTTTATGACAAGTAGCTGGGTTATATAGCCCAGATTACACCACGCAAATTGTTCTATAAAGTCATTTTTTTTTTAAAAGGGACTTTCAAGTCACTTTATTTACGAAATATCGAGCTATCACGGGTTGGTACACCCTTACCAACCAGTTGGTTGGTGGTGAACAGGGGTGTAGGCCGGTGAATCCATTTTTTTTTGTCCTAAAAATTGAGCATATCCTCAAGAATTGCAAAATTGAATTGGAAAAATGGTGCTTATCCTTTTGCAGTGGAGGTACCCCATTTTCGGACAAACCCAGATCTGCTTGGTGGTTTTAATTCTAAATCTTTCTTAGTTTTCTCCTTACTTGAGAAGATGGTTCCCAATGACTGCTGTTTTTCAGGGGGGTTAAACCCAGGAACCGGATACAGCATATTTGGAACAGTTTGGAACCAGTTGGCCAAACCAGTGGTCCCTGTAACTGTCCCATAAGATGACGGTTTTTGGCCCATGATGCTGGAAGTTGTGAGCTGGATGGCTAGTAAGGGTCATCATCCCACAATTACCAGATAAATGGATGATTACCAGACAATGACCTTATTTCAGCTTGAATAGTTTTTTTTTGAATTTTTTAATCCAGAGAAATGGCTTTGCCGTGTGGTTATCGATGGGACTGGTTGCTGCGTTTCTTTGAAGTCCATCCCGTTGCCAATCACCACGTGGTCAGCTCAGATTTGGTTCCTACTGGGGTGACTATCGCAGGTATTGTTTGGTAAAGTTGTCAGAGTTGCATCCTTCAGTTCAGTTTAGCCGCCCCTCAACGAACAGAGACCCTTTCAGCATTTCAGCCGGTGCGCCGGGGGGCGCCAGGAATCAGCTGTTCTTGGTTGTGAGTCGTTGGCACCTCAGGTCCCGACCAATGCCGACTCATTGGAACATGGGCCGTGGCCAAATAAGTATTGACAGTATTGATATCATTTGATATCCATGGAATCTATGATCATTATGGTCCATAATTGATAACATTTGGGATAAACAATCCAGTAGTACCCTCTGGTAAATTAACATAGACCCTGAAAATCACCAATTTATAGTGGTTTCACTAGTCTTCCAACCCCTATTTGGCAGGGTCTATGTTAATTTACTGGAGGGTATGATCTAGTAGTATCCATGAAATCACGGATAAGTGGATCATCACCATTTTGCCGGTGGAGCGACCAGGAATATGATGGAATTGGAGCATCAATTTGAGGGCCTTGGGTCAAGTTTGGGAGTTTGGGGTTGTCCAAAAAATGGGGATTACTGTAACACCCACTTTCTAAATGGCCATTTTGATGTTGGGAAAATGATCCAGAGAGGGAGTCGTCATACATCACCCTCTAGTAATCTAATAGTTTGCTATGGAAAATGACCATCTTTAATAGGTACAGTATATGGTATAGAAGTATATATATATAGAAGATATCTACACATGGGCCATTTTCCATAGCAACCTGTTGCACTACCTTCCAGGTATCCGGAATGGGGGTCCATCTCCCCATTTCGGCTGCTACACTCCACAGCTGAATGGGTAATTTTTCGATTACCATATCTGTTTACTGGAAGGTACCTAGAATTTCGAGCAAGAAATTGGTTTCTCCCTATAACAGAACCATTCTTTTGAACCACCTGGTGGTCCAACAAAGATGTTTTCTGTTTCCCCCTGTAGGGCTGATGATCCCAATCGACTCATCACGGTCCGCGAAATTCAGTGGTCTCAAGCGGTGTCGCACACTGCGACGCCACGTTGACGTGCAGCGCCCGCCCTTGTGACCGCTTCGCAATTCATGGGCTCCGTCCGCTCCGACAGCAAAGAGGCGCTGCAGAATCTGATAGGAAGCTAAACTACTCCCACAATGGATAAAACATGATAAAACAGGATCCAATGTGGACAACCCAATCATAAACCTACCATGTCAGGATGCGATAGAAACCACCCATAAATTTATTTCTTTGGGATGGTTTATCGTTGGGTTTGCGGCATTAATCATTATTTGTGGACCTTAACTCCTATGAACCCTGGATGCCTTTGCAGGTGGATTTCACCTGCAAGATGGGGTTAGAATTTTAGAACATCATGATGGTCATAGTCAGCTACTGGTGAAACATAAGTTCCACCATGAACAGCCATTTCAAGGGTATGTCAGGGGGAATATGAAAAATGTGCCATGGTCAACTTCGGTAATTTGTCCATATATTTTGGTGGATGGTCATCTATGAATTAATGGCATGAGAATTCCGTGAATCTCGGATGACCACATTCCGCATGACCGTCCCATTTAACTTGATCGTGGCAAAAAACATATATATATATACATATATATATATATAAATACATATATATATATATAAATACATATATATATATATATACATATATATATATACATATATATATATAGATAGATAGATAGATAGATAGATAGATAGATAGATAGATATAGATAGATATAGATAGATAGATAGATAGATAGATAGATAGATAGATAGAGATAGATAGATAGATATAGATAGATAGATATAGATATAGATATAGATATAGATATAGATATAGATATAGATATAGATATAGATAGATAGATAGATAGATAGATAGATAGATAGATAGATAGATAGATAGATACGATGTATATATATATATATGGTCATTTGGGCAATAACCATATGACATAGGCCAGTTACATATACGGAATATCCCCAGATACACAGGTTCAGAATACGGCTGATGTTCACCACTTCCCTTTCTGGGTCCCGCAATTCGTCCAGCAAGTGATTTCACCCCCTCCATGGCGAGGTCCATCCCGGTCAGATCACATGCCTTGCTGAAGACGTCCCCATGAAGTTTTGAATGATTTTCGCATATTTTCCCAGATCAAAACTTCCATAAAAAATGGGGGAATGCCCATTAAATCACATTCTTGAGATGGGTTCGAACATGTTTAAACCACTGAAACTGGAAGACCCAGCATTTGGGGACATCTCTGATCGCTTTCTTTGCATGGATCTTGTTTCCTGTTTCCTGTACCATTTCCAATCAATATAAATCAATCCAGCAGCATGTGTATTTTGCTGCAGGCAGGCGAGGTCTCAAATTGCTGCAGCGCAGGAACGAGATTTCCTCTTTGCAGACAATTTGGAACCACATGCCACCAGAAGGAATCTGGGGCTTGGTCGAGAGGTTGGTGAATAGCTGGCATGATTGGCTTAGTTCTTGAAGGAATATATATATATATATAAAATTATATATATATATATGTATGTAGATATATACATTCCAATGAAGCAATGATAGTTGAATAGTGAGGATATGAACTGAACAAATGATAGTTGAATCTGAGCACGTCCCTTTTCACCGACTGGCGACTTGGTGAATATTAGTGGGGATTCCAAGGTTACATGATATAATATGATCAATATCACTAATACAGACTACCTGGAGCCTGACCAAAAAATGTATAGAACTTAGCAGGACCAATATGTACCAAAAATATATAGAAATTGTGGCTCAAGAGGTATATATATATATATACACAGTATATCCATAATGGCATTCGACAAATTGTTGAGGGTCAAGTCAATAGCTCAAAGTGATGCCCCGAAGCCTGATGTTTTGGGCTTTATGGCTCCAAAATGAAAAAGGAATTGATCAGTGGCTCCGAGAACGTGGGGAGCCAGTTTTTTTTAGGGCTCAAGATTGAGGTTGACATTAGGTTGACCCTGTACCCTCTGGTAAATAAACATAGACCCTGAAAATCACCAATGTTTAATGGAAACTAGTCTTCCAACCCCTATTTGCCAGGGTCTATGTTTATTTACCAGAGGGTAATTGTTTCTGAAATTTGGGTCGATTTTTGAAGGGTGTGACCATCTCTTGTTCCATCAGCATGTCCACATTCAGCGCGACCCTGGCCGTAGGCTCCAGTGGCTTCCAAATTTCCAGCACCCAAAAAGATAGAACGGGAAAATTAACATATGGGTATGGATCAATACCTATTTTTATACCATTTTTAATGGGATGAACATCCATAAATCCCAGCTATTTTGGGGTTCACTAGGTACCAAGGTTTTGACCCACCCCCATAGTCCAATCCTAGTGATCCATTGAATCTTTTCTGTTTTTGCGGGTTGAAATCCATGACTTCCCCGCAGCTGAACATGTCACTTTCGCACAGGAAGGAGATCCTGAAAGCACACCCAGATCCACGGCTAAAACGGCACAGGCGGATGTTGTCGGTTTTTGAGAGGAAACACATGGGAAATGACTGTCAACAAGGTTTTTTTTGCTCCATATGTTTAAACAAATGCTGGGAATGAAGAACACAACCCATTTTCGGGTTAAAATGGCAAAACATCTTCTGGTTGAACCATGTTGAACCCCCGATTTGTCTCTTGATCGGAGCACAGCATTACTGGCCTATAAAAACACCCAACACTGCAACTTTGATAGAGAAACGTCGGTGTTTAGGGGTTTCGACTAAATTGTCGGACCCATTTTTTGTGATTTTTGTGAGTCTGTGAGTTCCATGATATTTTGGACATCACGAACTCATGATCTCATGTCATGTTGGTGAAATCCCCATGAGCCATACCAGCCATGTTCGTCCCTGTAAGCCCAGTTGCAGAACTGAGACCAACCCATCGGCTGAATCTGCAATCGATTGGATGTGGCACTTAGAATCTTTAAGATTATCACTCAGGTATAATCTTAAGTACGTTGGCATATCTTACACAATCTTAAGTACATATCTATAGTTGGCAAACCATATGACAATTTTTCACATAACAATTCAAAATCACAATGTTTCATGGGTAAATCATCGTTCTACTTGGCTATGTTCTCAATTCCCAGAGGGTATCTTCCTGATACAATATATTCCATTATTAAAAAATCACCATTTCCTGAAATATTCCCAGTAAAATGGCCATTTTTCCATAGTAATTGATGGGACGGTTGCGCTAAGGAGATCACGAAGCTGATGGGCCCCGAGTGGCGAACGAAGTACCTGGTGGCTGCGGCTCGGCTTTTTGTAACGAAGTAGGGTGCCAACGTAACAGGAATGCCTGCAGCAGTAGGACATAATCAGGGAATTAATTATATAGATGATATTAGATGATATTACATGATGTTAGATGATCTTAGATGATCCTAGATGATCCTAGATGATCTTAGATAATCTTAGATGATATTAGATGATTGCAGCCCGCGGCCATGGGGTGTTCTTACATTTTTTTACACCAATTATCAACTGAGCAGTGGCTGCAAGGCCCGGCTGATGATTTTTGCGGTTATGAACCTACCATCTACTGTATATTTCGATGATTCTCCCGCACAAACCTTCATTTCGTTGGAGGATTCTCCAGCTACCCTCTGGTAAACCAACAGTTCGCTATTGAAAATTGCCATTTATAGATATTTAAAGTGGTTTTACCCATCAAAAATGCTGATGTTCCAGTTCGTTATGTCAACGTTGACCAGGCCGGGTAGCCATAGCCATGTTTGATGATCCCTTGCCGAGGCCACTGTCGCCCTTCAGATCACCTTGGCATGTTTTGCCAAGAGCTGGTCCTTCTGGACGTTCCTGGCTGGCGGAGATGTCTTTTTTTTTGTGGGTTTTTGAGGAACAACAACAGAGATTTCAGTGGGATTTTGAATGGGATTTTGAATGGTATTTCATGGATGCCAAGGGTAAGAACTAGCAATCATGAGGTTCATTGATCATGGACTTAACCATCGAACATGCATAAAAAATGCAGTCTATGGAGGTTTCCTAAGTCATGGGGGTACCCCTAGCCATCATCCAAGTCATGGCCAAACCAAAAGTGACTTGGAATGGTGACGAATGGGGATCCACTTGAGAAAGACCCCATTTTTCTCAGTGATCCTCCAAACATTGCGATGGAAAATGCATCATTTACTTCGAGGATTTTTGCCGCTTGAACAACATGTGAATTTTATGTGATGTTCAATAGCAAACTGTCAAATTACCAGAGGCTCCCCAATGACACAACCAATACTTGACCGCTATTTGTGCGTGATGGAGTGCCAACGGTTCTCTAAAACAAACGTCAAAATTCCGATCCAAAGAAGAAAAGGCACCCTATTGAAACATAGCGAACTCCCAGACACGAACTGGAGTCTCTATATATAAAGATGTTACGCTGCTACACACGTAGCTTGGGAATCCATCTTTGAATTTCACAGCTCTTTGAGTCTCTAACCATCAATCTCCAATAAATAAGATAAAGGAGTCAATAGATTACCCTCTGGTAAACTAACATCAACTATGGAAAATCACAATTTTTAATGGGAAAACTCACTATTTATATGGCCATTTTCAATAGCAAACTGTTGGTTTACCAGAGGGTACGTCGATTTTGGTGGTTTAAAAGATGTGCTGGTCCACCACCTCTCAAGAACTCGTTGAACATTAGATGAGTGGCTGGCTTTTATCCACAATCACTGTTATATCCACAATCAATCATAGTTCAGGGCAAAAATTACACCTATGTTGCCGGACCCGACTCACCACATAGAAGGTCAAACTTGGTCGAACTGCAGTTGAACCGGGATGCTTAATTACTAGGAAACCATCCCGTTGCCAGATTGTACTCCATCTTTTGATATTTTTTAAAAAATTGGAGCCAGGATTTTCCCCCATGTTTCCCGGTGTGCCTGGCTTCGAAATGACCCTGGATGTAGAAAAAACACAGACGCATCTTGCGAGGTTCGTGGCGGTGGCGTATATTGTTGGAGCGACTGCAAACCATTCGTGGCTTGGTCCTGTTGCAGCCTACTGTAAGTTATATGATATATAGCACCCCCCCAAAAAGATATTGGAAAGCCTGGAAATTGTGAGGAAAACATCATATCTTCATCCTGGAACTACTTTTCCATGTTTTTTTGGTTGCTACATACATCTATGTATCATTCTATCATATTCTATCTATATAATACATATGATACTCTATGTAGTGATAGTTTGAGCAACGAATCCCAGCATTCGATGGGATGTGTAGTTCTACAGCTTGCGCTGAAAAGTGGGTCCAAAAAGGGTATCCCCTCAAAATGAAAAAATGTTTGATCATCACTTCCACCATTGAACTGGCTTTAACACAAATTGAATTCCAACTGCGAAATTTGCTAGACATGAGCTAAATATGAGCTAAATCCGCAGCATTTTTAAATATCTTTTTCCTGAAACCTGCCCAAAGACAGTGACGCCAACGTTTTGAAACTCGCGACCGAGTCTGTTCTTGGCCATCCACGAGTTGGCTCACAACTTGGGGGCCAAATCAGCCAGCGCCAACAAGATCATCGGTCCCTTGGTGCCGTTTCGCATGGCTTTCGATGTCAGATGTCAGATGGGACAATTGAAGTATTAGACATGGTGATTTCGTGGGATATTCCATGGATATTCCATGGATTCGACCCTCTGATTTGCTTCCGTTTCAGCATCTGATTTTCACAGATCACAGATTTGAATCACAAAGGCTAAGGCCACGGCAAAGGGCTTTGAAGTTATGAAGCACTTGGGGGTAGAAATGGGGGTACCACCATGCCATTTCTGGAAGGTCAAGGAAAATCCCCCAAAAATGGATGATGACTGGGGGTAGCCCGGTAGCCTTATTTTAGGACGCCTCCACTTGTTGAGGAATGGTGGCGAATCTTCCCATTGTCTTTCCCTACTGCATCACCTTCAAGCCGTGCGCCAGGGGGGGGGGTTCCGAAAACGGCGTGGCTTCATAACTGCAGCAACTAGGATCAAACATACGTACGTGGGTGTTTATAACTTATAACCATAAAATCTGTTGGAATTGCGTGCTGGATATATCTACTAAATACTGTTGTAGACCAGCTTATCATTGGGGTTGGGGCCCTTCCTGTAGCTGTGATGAGTGGTCCTACTCCCCATCCATATAAAACACCTCAACCGCTGGGACCCCAAATTATACTATGTAAACGATTTAATACTACGGCAAAACCCTGAGGTTTGCCCGGACTCGCAACGAGTGTCCGGACATGATGATGATGATGATGATGAGGAGGAGGAGGAGGATGATGATGATGATGATGATGCTGGTGGTGATGATGATGATGATGATGATATGATGATAACCCATATGCTCCACATAAAAAAAAACATGTATTAAACCCTTATTGAAGATCTTCAGTGAATGTAGAAGTTTAACGTTGTGGGAGAATTAAACCCCTATTGAAGATCTAAAAGTTTGACTGGGGTGGGAGAATTGAACCCAGATTAGAGATCTTTAATGAGTGTAGAAGTTTATGGGGGTGGGAGAATTAAACCCTTATTGAAGGTGGTCAATGAATGTAGAAGTTTAATGGGGGTGGAAGAATCAAACCCTTATTGAAGGTGGTCAATGAATGTAGAAGTTTAATGGGGGTGGAAGAATCAAACCCTTATTGAAGATCTTCAATGAATGTAGAAGTTTAATGGGGGTGGGAGAATCAAACCCTTGTTGAAGATCTTCAATGAATGTAGGAACTTAACGGGGGTGGGAGAATTTAACCCTTATTGAAGATCTTCAATGAATGTATAAGTTTAACGGGGGTGGGAGAATTCATATGATATGTATAGTGTGAGCAAAAAATCCTCGTAATTTACGCTATTTTGGGCTTGGGCAAACCTCGGGGTCTGTGTGTAATACTATATAAGTATATATGTATATATGTATACGTTCACACACACATATATATATATATGCATTAACATGTAGATATATGCATATACATTCTACATATGATTACATATGTGTGTATGTCTGTAATGTATGTATGTCGGTCTGTACTGTATGTAATGCATGTAATGCATGTAATGTATGTAATGTATGTAATATCATGTAACGTAACGTAGTGTGATGTACAATAATGTAATGAACGTAATCTGATGCAATGTAATTGGTGTATGTGCACGCAATATATATATATATATATGGGTAAATTATAACGACCTCACTGCGACCTCACTGGAAATCATGATTAGTAAAGGGAATCATCCCAAAATGGCCTTAATTCAGGTTAGTGAAATATTAGAATTTACCCATATATATATATATATAATGATATTCCGATTTTATGGTGATTAAGCCCCATGATTGAATCGATGACCATTGACTCCCAGTGATTGGGACTTCTTGGAAGTCAAAAATTGCCAGGTACCACATGGCGCACCATCGCAACCAGGGCGTTGAAGGGATCGATACGGATGTCCCCACCCTCTTTGAGGGATATCTCATTACCAAGAGCCCCTTGGCTGTGAAAAATGGAGGTACCCTCTGGTAAACTGTCCCATAACTATGGAGAATCATCATTTTTAATGGGTAAATCCACTATTTCTATGGCCATTTTCAATAGCTATGTTAGTTTACCAGAGGGTAATGCCATTGGTGACTTTAATGGGCTTTATTGGGAATCGGGGGACATCATGGGATGTTTAACCTACTGCAACGATATTGGGAGGCTTAAGAATCCACTTGAAACATGGAAATATCGTGGGATCTAACCAACAACGGGATTTCGGATGATTTCGGGATATAACTCATTCATGGATATAGATATAGCAATTGGGGGTTGGGCTGCAGTTGGGATTCTTTCGATATAGCCATGCTGATTGCACCTCGATAGGTTTGGTTAGGACATAACGAAACTATCGAAACATGGCCATGTCCGGCTTATCGCGTGGAACAGCACCCCGAAGTGACCCGCTGAAGAGTAAGAAAACATGTCGATTTCATGCGATTCGGAGTAGCAAAAAAATCATCGACAGCTACCGTCTTTGGAGGTTTGCAGGGTTGCTCCAAGATATTAGAGTTAAATTATAGCCACACGTGGGCGAACTTGGTAATTTCATGTCCTTTTCTAGCCATTTCCCCCCTGTATCTTGGGAGCAAACCCTGTCGGTAATGGGAGGGAGCCATCTCGGGACGCACTGCAACAAGAGGCGTAGTGTAGTTTCCCTTTAAGGAAACACTTGTCATTTGAAAGGCGCAATGCCTGCAGAAACAGTTTAGTATCCTTGTCAAATAAACATTTTTTTTGTTGAATGCAAAGTATCCAACATCCATTTTAAAGTTCAGTATGTACTCAGGTCGAAACCACACTATTCCTGCGCGAAAATATGATTCTTGCTTATTCCTGCAAAATAAGCAATATGACCCATAAACATGCAGGGTTTCTTGCAACAGATGCGGTGCTCCTTTGTGAAACTATTCTATGTTCCTTCCAAATATTTCGTAGCATTCCTTTGGAGAAGTGCAGTTGAAGAATTGAAGAGGCAGTTTTCATTAGGACAATGCAGCACTTTTTTGAACACGTACAGTCTCCTAAACGATCATTTTTACCATTTCCACTATGCAGTCTACAAAAGTGAGAATGTACTCACTTTAGACATCACTGTATGTATCCCTGTAGGGATGCAGGGTTTCTTTCAAAAGAACGTATAATTCCATTTAACGCAAACCAAGAGCCCCTTCACATCTAAAGCAGCGCGGCGGTACTTTACGAGAGGGTCTTTTTCTTACGTAGAAACACTTGTGATTGACAACAATTTCATTTAAAGGGATGTAACATTCCTTGAAGCAATGCACATTTTTTAAA